GGTCTGTAGACTAGGATTTGTTGTTGTATCTTCCTGCTTAACATTTGCAATCAAAGGTGAAATTTTCAAAGAACAGTGGACTGTCAAGGCAGCTATACTGGTATCAGCCTACGCACAGTCAGAATAGCAAGTGTTTATGCCTGCACCTGTTAACAGAGCCTGCAGTCACCATGCTGCACAAATTATAAATGATCTGTAGACACACTTTCACAGTGATCGTAGGGAACTGTGTGTGCAGCAGTGATGTGAATATTAACTTACAGTTTTTAGAGTGTCACCTTATACTATTAAGATGTTGGATTTTCTTAATGTGTTAAAAACAGCCCTTATTGTTTACCTCTTTCTCTTTATTTGCCTGACAAAGATTCTAATGGAGGAAAGGACTACCATGGTATTGTGCTTTACCAGCAGCAGGTTTATACTCTGAATGGTTTCATTGTGGGCATGTGTTTGTATAGGGTCAAACTCATTGCAGTTTAAAGAAACTGCACACACTATTTTGAGATCTTATGTGAGACTTCAGTACTGGCTGTCTTCATGGGGTAAATTTCAGCCATGGTGAGAAGGAATACTAATATTGTAATTGTATTTAAGGAACAATGTCACTGATGCACAAAGAACATAAAACCTTTTTTATCAGGAAAAACTTGCTTACATGTAATCATCCAAACCTGCAATATTAAAAAGTGTAACATACAAGCATAGAAACTCTCACACGTGCATGAAGCAAAGCTTATCTGAATGCACATTTTCCTGTGAAGAGCCTGAGAAAACCTTGCGGGAGAGTGAGAAGGTAGAATCCAAAATGCTGTCTTAATAAAAGCCATAGCAGTGGGGAGGTGATGCAGGCCCAATTGTCAGATCAAAGCAACAGTCAAATTTTCTTATGTATTTTTTGTCTCTCTCCACTCAAAAAGGTCTTGAATACTCAGAGACGGGGTGGTAAAGCACTATTGCAAGCACTGGAAAAGACAAACCTCCCAAACACAGAATGAGTTTCATATTCACTCAGAGCACATCCTTATGTAGAGTGGACTTGTGCACATAAAAACAGTACAGAACAAACGCATATGCTATGAGAGCAAATCAGGGCCATCTCTGAACTAGGAGACTCTTGCAGGTCAAAGTCTGATCAAGACAATGATTGGCTACAATCAGTTGGGGTGAGGAGGGCCCATGTTCTGGTGCCCATAGGTCACCTACAAGTTTAAAGAAAAGAAACACCTTCTACTTTCATATGCTTATTTGATTTCTTTTTCATTAAGAAAGAAAGCTAGAAATTATCCCCCCCCCCCCCAATTAAGGGAATGTGAAGAGTACTTATGTTTTCTAAATTAAATTTAGCACATGGCTAGTCAGGTGAGTTCAGTAACAACTGAAAAAATAGTGAAATGATACTCAAGAGATTGAAGACCAAGTAACAGAAAGAAGAAAGGCTTTCTAGTTTGACTGCTTAGAAAGCTTTGATTTTTATTTGTTATCACCTCCTTAATTCTTTGCCTAAAGAATATTTGGCTAGAAGCCTGCCCCTTTAATTAAGGTGTAAGCAGGCACAACCTTCTAAAAAGTCTAGGAGATCTGATAGCCCTAACACATCTAAGGTAAAAACAACTGGAAATGTGTGTTTTTTCCCCAGAACTTCTTTGTACATTACAAAAAAGCTAAAAGGGCACTGACCTTTAGAATGTCCACTTTGCACCAGCTATCATTGAACAACAGTGGTGGAACAAATCAAGAAATCATGAGAAACAGAGTATGCAAACAGTGAAATAAAATGAGAATTACTATCAAACTGGATAAAAACCAATGCTAACTGCAACAAGTAGTCATATCTGTAGTTAGACAAAATGTATTCTTTACCCATTAAGTATTCAATTGCAGTTCACTCACAGGACTACTATATTTGAAAGGCTTATTGTTACATTGAAAGAAATATCAGTAAATACCACATGTGCTGCAGTGCTATAGAGTTGCTGTTACTTTTGAGAGGGATGTTTAAATGCACTAAAATGATGAATAAGTTGTCATAACTAAAGTACAATTTATAAATAATGTTAGAAATGTAACATTTACCAAAAATTTCCACATTTGAATGCATTTTAACAAAGCCCTCCGATACACAAAATAACATTTTCTGCACTTCCTTTTTTAAACTGAACTTTTACTGAAAAGATGGTCAAAAGATGCGAGTAGGAGGCAAAGAGGGTTGTTCCTATAGTTATTCAGTAATTCATTTACTTACCATGTCATTTTTCCTCTTATCCAGCATTTTGTTACTGTTGGGCTGCAACAAAATGTGGAAGCTGTTACTTCACTGAGTAAGAATCTGCATAAATTCATGCTGTGAACATGTGATAAGCTCTTTTAGGAGCAGAAATAGGTTCTTACTCTTTCCTACGTAATTTATTTGATCATCTTCTCTAGATGCCATTACTTCTCCATATAAATTTCTCCCTACAAAAAAACCCATACATTGTACACACACTGACTGGTTCACACAGTATCCATAATAAAATTTAGTGAAATTTATGCATTTTCTTAATATAAGTTCAGACACTAAAGGACATAAAATAGAAGCAGTGTTCTAGCTGACTTCTATTGGCTTATGAAAGTATAAGGTGTTGTAGTCCAAGGAATACAGGAATTTAAGTATTCCTGTCTATGAAGATCCCATATTAAGAATATTTTATTTTAATCACAGCTCTACTGAAGAATACACTTCACTTATACTATCCAGTCATCTCCCTTCATTATAATAGAGGTACATTCTTCATGGTTTCTATTAAAATCATGTTGAAGACAGGGAAGCCAATATCTGAACATATTGTAAAGATTTGAAATTCTGATTGTATATATCAATCACTGGTTGAGTTATGTACATCAAGAATCTACACAAGATTATAAGAGTATACCAACAATATTTAAGCTGGTCATATTTTAAACAGCGTATAAAATGTCCAAGTTAATTTTGAATATTCAAGAAGGTGCACTATATCTAACAACAGAAGCAGAATGTCTGGTCTGTAACAGAAGCTACTTGTCCACATATTAATTAACCACTTTATTCACGGTCAATTGACACCACAGTTGGTTTTATTGATTTTGGAATTAGCTGTATCTTATTTTTGTTTGGGGAATGTTTCTGCCTCTAGCATAAAATCTATCATTTCCTGACTGTTGTTAAGTCACGTTTTTCTGAATGAATTTTTTGGGTTTTGTTTCCACGGAAGTTCTTTGTTTTTGTTTTTCTTTTTAATCCTTTTCTCTAAAGAGTTTCTTTCCTGCGCAACCTGATTTTACACGTTCTTGTGTGACACTCTTAACAGCCCAAACGGCTTTAAATGTTTGACTTATGCTCCGCAGCAGCGGACGACCCTCTAATTCTCTCCCAACTCTTTCAAGGGAAGACGGCTGACTTCCTCTGCCTGGCTGTTTAGCATTGTCAAGTGCTGGAGGTTCTTTAAAACAAACACGCTTGGTATCTTTTTCCAACTGTTTGCAATTTATGATGTCAACTGATTGGGGAAGCGAGCCCGTGTCACCGAAGCCAGAGAGACATTGCAGAGCTCCGGCTAGTCCTGCAGCCCAAGCGCTGCGCTGCCAGGGAGGAATAAATGTTTCCATGTGAGAGGCTAGAGCGAGTAGGGGACGGCACGAAACGTGCGTCCCGTCTTCTGCTTCCAGCCCAGCAGGCTCCCACGGGTTTGCCAAGCCTCGGGCCATGTTTCGCCCGCATGCTCCAGCCTTCCCGTCCCCACTGCCGGGCTCTAGGGCAGGGTGGCACCTGGCCCCGGCGCTGGGAGGCTTGGGGCAGGGCGGGGGGCCTCCCTCAGTCCCTCTGCTCCCGGCCGGGGCTGCTCTCCCGGGCCCGCCTTTCACTGCCCAGCGCTGCTGGGTCTGGACACGTGCTGGGAGCGCGGCCGGAGCAGCAGCAGGGGCGCGGGGAAGGGGCAGGAGGCCTGCAGCCGGGGCGCGGAGGGCTCCGGGCGTGCATTGCTGGGGGCCCCCTCGGCCCGGGTTTCCTGCGGCAGGGGGAAGCGCCCCCCGGAGCTGAACCCCCGGCCCCGAGCCCAGGACCTTGGCACGAGGGTGACGGCCACTCGCCCCCTGCCGCCCCAAGGGGCTGTGGAGCGCTTGCCGGGACAGCGCCGGCTGCTCCCTGGGGAGCCGAGGAGCTGCCGCCGTCCTGCGCCTCCCCGAGCCTGGCCGAGGGGAGCGCCGATCCGCTCCGGGGAATCTGGTAGTCGCGTGGGGCTGCTTTGTTTAGTCATGGGAAACCGCTGCATGCACCGGGCTCTCTTTTTCTTTTTCTTTTTTTCCTTTTTTTTTTTTTTTGATCATTTGGCTTAAATTGGTGGGTTGCAGGTGGGACTGTCTTGTCCGCGGAGCTGGCTGCCTCTACTGCCACCGCTCCCAACAGCTCCCTTGGCGCTGGAAGCAACGGGGCGTCTGAACTCGTTAATTGAATTATTATCCCGGTCACCCCATTGACTAAACCTGCGCTGCCACGTCCGGCGTCTGCGCCAGGCCACGGGAGAGCTCCGGCCCCGCTGCCCCCCGGCCTGCATGGCGTGTCCTGCCAACAGCTTCAGGGGGCTGCTAAGAAACTGCCCGAGCAGCCCTCCCCTGGAAGACCCTGGCTACAAAAACAAGATGTGTTGCCCCAAAGGGCAAATTTTCAGTGCGTCTTAATTGGAAAAGGTTTGGACTTGCTGCACTTTCCTCAACCTGAGGCAGCTTCACAGAATTTGTAGACAAAATCGCTATCTGATTTTCAGCGCTTTCTATATATAAGCCAGATTCAAACGAAGCACCAGGTTGATGAAGCTGAGCTTCTCCAAAACTAATTTAGAAGTGGTAACAAAAGATACATAGGGTTGAACCATCTTTCACCATTGTACTGGGCAGAAGAGCTCACCTTTGCATTTTATAAGAAGCAGAAAGAAACATGCAGGCTCTACAAAAGGTATGAACACAGAAAGGAAGAACGTCACTGATGATTTAATATGAACAGTACCAGCAAGTGACGGGCACCCGTCAGTTAAAACGTTTACCTTTTTCATTCAATAGATCGCAAAGTGTCTTATATTTTGTAACTTGGCACTTATTGAAATTTGTGACTTTAAAACCGATTAAGAAAGGTGAAGCAAACCTGAGTGAAACAAAATATATCGAACCGACAGCAAATGTAATGAAATAACAGCATCTTTTCGAGTTTTTTTCTTTAAATAACTTAAAATACACTAGAAAAAATATGGTAAATATAAATAATTTTGTTTTCATGGAGAACAAATAGTTACAAAGCCCGTCCATAACAACGTTCACTTAGAAGAGCTTTCCCTCTTTCTTGGCAAAAGAGCATTAAAAGTCATGAGGGTCTGATGGCAAACTGGGATAGAAATCACCCCCTTCAAGATACCCCCGATTAAATAGCTATCTGTCTTTCAAATTAAAAGAAATCACAAGATTACGTGAATAGATACACCTTTATGAGATAAAATGTAAATGTCTGACAGTCAACTATCAATTCACAAGTTATAGCCAAAATAAACTTTGTTCGTGTTTATCAACATATTTTACATGTACCTAGTACTTATGATTGGAATTTGCCATTATAGAAGGTGGTGGTTTTGGAATTAAATACAAGGTTTGTCCTGAGAACATCAGAGAGCCAGCAAAAGAGAAAGAAATAACTCCTCTAGTCTCATGCTTTCTGCTCCCTTCTATTTCAGGGATGGGACAGCAAAGGGCCAACAAAGATCGAAGAGTGGAAAGGCAGTGCTTGATCCCTCTCTCTCTTTCTCTCTCTCTCTCTCTCTCTTTTTCCCTCCAAAATTAAAAGAAAAATAAAACAGCCACATTGGTTTGTTTTTGTTTTTCTACTGAAGATGAGGGTGAAGTGCAAGTGAATCAAAGGGACGCCATCAATGAAATACAAATACATGCAACCCGGAATTCTGCTGGAAGAAGTATCCCGGACAGTTTTCCCGTTAGAAATTCGCAGAGAAATCATTGTCTTTTTATTTTCTTTTTTCTTGTTCTTCTTCTTTTCTTGTCGCCATTTCCAGACGTGGTTGTTAAACTCAAGTATCTGATGCAACGTGAAAGGAGGCCCGCCTCTCTTATCAAATTTCTTGTATTAAAGTGAACTTCGCAGAAAAAGGTCAGTTTCAAAACCTGTGAACTTCCCAGCTGCGTTTCTATTTCATCTAATTCTTTAAATAAGTATATATCTTCCTTCAGTTCCTCGTCTCTCTCTTTTTCTCCATTAGAAAAAAAAAACCCAAACCCTTTAAAAGTTGTTTCTTTTTTTTTATTTATTTGTCTCCCCCTCATCTCCATGTCCTGGAATAAGGTTTATTTCTCTTCCTCTTTCTGAAGGCATAAAGCACCTCACCGTGGTTTTGTTCCTGTCCTTTATGTACGCGGGGTTTTGTTCGGCTTGCCTTGCCCCGGTGCTGGGCATCTGGGTCGCGTCCCCCCGCGTGTCTGTGTGCGCGCGCCTGTGTGTGTTTTGTTTTAACGTCTCTGCTCTCGGCAGCCTGGCTCCGCGTGTGTTTCGCATTAAGTCAAAGCTCGCCGGCTCGTGAGTAGGACTCTGCCCATGGAGTCATTAGCCTTTCGCTTGTTTGCCGGGCTGTTTTTGTGTTGTGATCCTCCGGATGGTGCGAGTTGCAGGGTCCCCAGGAGGTGATCGCGGAGGAGGAGGAGGAGGAGGAGGAAGGGAGGGGGAGGCGGAGGAGGAGTCACAGCCCCAAAGCAGCCGCGTGCTTTTTGGCTTTCAGTCTGAGGTCGGCGATGCTGGAGTTCTTGCTGGTGGTCTTGGCCGCCGCCGCCGCAGCCACCACCGAGGCGGCCGAGGCGGACTCGGCGGCCAGCGTGGCCAGGGGCAGGCCGAAGGGCGGCGCGGGGAACATCATGTAGGGCGCGTGGGCGGCCAGGTGCGGGTGCAGGTGGTGATGCGCGTGGGCCACGGCGCTGTCCAGCTGCAGCTGGGCCTGAACCTGAAAGGACAAGGGCGTCACGTTGCAATGACTATCCTAAAGGTGTAACGAGAACAGAAACAGAGCATTAACACGGCCCGGGGGCAGCTCCCCCTGCAAA